GTGTGGGGTGGTGTGGGGTGGGGTGGGTGGACAGGTAGCTGGAAGGGCGTGTGCGTGTGCATGCGTATGCATGTGTGTGTGTGCGTGTGTGTGTGGGTGTGTGTGCGTGCGCGCGTGTGGGTGTGCATGCGTATTCACATGTGTGTGTGTGTGTGTGTGTGTGTGTACATGGCGCGCACGCAAACATGTGCACATGTGCACATGTGCACGTGCCTGCACAAGCACACGCGTACGTCGGTGGGCAAAAGGCGAGCATGGCAAAAGCAGTTTGGGTGCAGGTGCTCACGGCGCGTCAACAGCAAGGAGAGGCCGCAAGCAGGGGTCCGCCCGCCCTGCCAGCCTGTAGGCCCCCAGCGGCGGCAGCCAGCACGCACAGCCTCCCCCCACGCCGCTCCGACTCTGCCCACCCGCACCCGCACCCCGACCCCACACCCAGGCCCACGCTGCCACGTCCAACCCCCCAACCACCAACCCACTCCCCCTCTTCCCACCCTCGCATGCCCCCCCAGCGCCCACATGAGTGCCTCTGGCAGTTCGTGGGCAAAGTGGCCCTCCAGCAGGTAGGCGTGGTCTATCACCATGGACTTGGTGGCACCCTGGGCGCAGACAAGGAAGTGTGTAACAGAGACAGTGGTGGATGACAAAGACAGGCAGGGGGTGCACGGGGGGACAGGGGGGTGTGGTGTCCAGGGTGAAGGGCGGAGGGGTCCAAGGTGTTGGGAGGCAAGGCGCGCAGGGGCCGGGCGAGCCGGCGCCTCGAGGGCCGCCTTGCTGCTCGCGCCCTGTACCGCTCCACGCCCGCAGCCCTCACCAGGCCCCTGCTGCGCCCGCCTGCGCCATTCCGGTAAGCGCCGCAGACAATTGTACACCCCAGACACTGTGACTGCCAGCCCCCCCCCTGCCCCCTCACCTGCACCATATTGACTACATACGACACTGCAGGGTTGGTGGCCACGTTGACGTCCACCTCAATGTACCTTTGGGGGGGGGTGACAGGGTATGGTATTAGTGGGGAATAGGGTTTGGGGTGAGACAGGAGGCAACCTTCAATGAATGGGAGGAGAAGGGGGCGGCATCTAGTGCAAGCGATAGCGGACCGAGTCTCCAGGCAGCTTTGAGGCAGCAGTCACTGCCAGTCACAGCCCCAACTCCGGCCTATGCTCTTGCCGCTGCTCTTGCCGCTGCCCGTGCAGAGCTCGCAGCCCTGCATCCAAACCGCGCCGCGGGGTGTATCAGCTCAGCGCCACCACATGCCTGTCCGTGATGACGTAAGTGGTGGTCGGCAGCTTCCGTCCCAGAATAACGGGGGTGGTGCCCACCTGGGATAGGGGTAAAGGGGGCGGCGAGCGGAAGCTCAGGGTACCCTGGAAGGGGTATTGGGGGCGATGAACCCCGACGCAGCCGCCCGCTGCCAGCCACTGCGTGTGCGTAAAGGAGCGAGGCGGAACAGAAGCAGCGACGGCACATTACAGGGACAGGCGGGGCGGAGCAGGGCCCCACCGTCTGGCTGATGATCCAGGAGCCCTTGGCGCAGTGAGGGATGAGCTTGAACGTGCCGTTGCGCTCGTAGTCTGGGGGGAGGGGCGACGGGGAGATTGTTGGTTTGCTTTGATACAATCGTCTAGGCCAGCTGGACTCGTCCCTCCACTTTATCCACCCTGTTTGGAACAACAAGGGCTCACTACTAATTGGCCGCCCAGTGCCGGCGGCATCATGAATCAAGGAAGGGGCCCGGGAGCACCCCGGGGTGGGCGCCGGCGCGAGCATGTCAGTGGCGGACGTGGCGCAGGGGTTCGGCGGCTTGGCGCGACCAGCCCGCCTCGGCCACCCCATGAGGTACGCCGTCGGGCCGGCGAGCCGCGGCGTGCGGCGGCGCACCCTGGGCCAGGCGCCGCGGCCCATGAGCAAACTCCTGCGTCCAGCCACCTCACAACATTGCCTCCTCAAATCCCCCCCCCCCCCCTCACACACACACACATCGATGTTCAACCCGTCCCCGCTGCCCTCACCCGTGGCGTGCAGGAACCGGCTGAGTGTGAAGTCAAAGGGGGTCCATTCCGGCCCCGCGTCAAGGGGGTCGTCCGGGCAGGCCCCCAGGCTGCTGGGGTGGCTGGGCGCCCCGAATGACATCACCAGGTGAAGGCAGGGGTTCTGGCCGGTGCCTGGCAGGAGGAGGGGGGGGGGGAAAAGGGGTGAGGCGTACAGCGCGGGTGCAAAGACGCGGGTGAGGAGGACAGGACAAGGGGATGGCCAAGGCACAGGTACTGGGAGCAAGGCAGACGGCGGCGCTGGGGGTCCACGGTCCCCCCCCCCCTCCCATCCGCAATCCTCCATGGTGGGTGTGGCCAGCCAGCACCCCCCAGCCTCCTCCAAGAACGCAAGAGGAGAGAGCGAGCACGTGCACTCCCACCCGTCCTCTACAGCCTTGACAGACAACATGATGCGCTACAGCGCAACCGCCCCCCGCCGCCCTCGCGCTCCCCGCCC